CTTTAATTGGCCAAAATATACATGAAAAGATATTCATGTACAGGTAACCTTTTCCCAAATATTTTTCTAAAAATTCACATTCATATCAGGGCGTGCAAATATTACAATTGTATTACAATCGAATACAATGTTTTACCACTTTTGCACTCTGAAAAGCCTACCAATTATATAAATGTTATGACATAGAGCAGAATATCATTGTTTGCTAAGCCTTCCCCACAGATGTAAAAATCCAAACAGCAGTGAGAGCGTCGCTCACGCAACCCTCACTGCTTGCTTTTATGAGAGCGAGAGATGCAAATTAGGAAAGAGAAGTCCTCATGTTGAGCACTCACCTGAAAAAGAAGAAAGTTGAGCTTGAATTGGCACATGGCGCTTTCATCCTTCTCAGCAATGGCTTGTCGGGAACATATGAGTGTTGATGCTGATTTCCCTGGAATTAAATCAACACTCTCCCCACTGTGGTTAAGTGTTTGCACCAGCTGCGTGATAATTAAGTACAAGGGATAATCATGCTGAGAGCATCGTCTCCATCCTCCAGTTTACCCCCCACACTTTTGTTGTTGAACTTGTTAGAAGTGCCTTATATACTGCACAAAACAGAACTGTTGGATAAATAAGAAGCCTCCCAAAGTTATGTGTTCTCCTAAATAATTAAAGAGAACTGCCACATTTTATTGCAATACAGCTGGGTTTTTTAATTAAATGACATTACATAACTGAAATAATAATAAAAACAAATTTGTGTTTCAGGGGCTTCTTGTAACAGGAGATTTATGTGATACTCAGCATGATTAGGTGTGTTGACCTCATTTATTTCATTGTTGCGAGCCTGAATCCAACCAACGTGTTGGTAATATAGTGTTAAGCTATGAATTATTTCACTTGCTTCCATAACATTTCACAGAAAACGTTACTCTCTGTAGATTATGCATGATAAATATTAAAGACCTGTACATTATACTCGTTATACTGAGGGCAAACCCTAATCATGATGAGTGACTGTCAACCTGTCATCAGCTGATCATTGCTGTAATTGTTTGCCGTTAGCCTGGGTCTTGACCACACACTCTGGCAGCATGTCGTCTGAACGCTGATTTGTATCCGCCGTTACACTTTTGCACCCCTGAGACTGATTCATGTAGAATGCTGTGGATGAATCATCAAACTTTTATGTAATCCCCTGTCTACCAATATATGTGATTTGAAAAATGATTGAATGGCATAAAATGTGACAGAACACATAATCTGTTTGGTATTTTAGTTGGGGATTTACGGCATGTGCAGACATGAAGAATTCATTCTGTTGAATTGATGAGATAAGAAATCATGTTTGCAAATCAAAAGGGTTTATTCGGATTAAACTAAAGACGAGGGACCAGTTCCTTCTCTCTTTGTAAGGATGCGTATGCCCTCAAAATATATTAACCTCAACCTTACCATCAACCCGTTGTTATTCATGTCAAATCAAGTCAGTCAAGTCAAGTTTACTGGTATTTCACATTTCAGGAACAAGGCTTTACAACAAAACATGCCTTAATTATTTTTGTTTTTCCTCCAAACAGATTCTAAATTCATTTGATTATTAGTTTTACTGCAGCACATTTTAGAAATCCAGACACAAATTAGCTAAAGTTGGTATCAGTGGGCATTCCTCCTACCACTAGATGGCAGCAAAGTGCTTCCAATATGATACTTGGTATGTGTTATTTATTCATCACAGCCATTAGGTGAGTATTTGAGTATCTACTTCAATCATTCACACAATCATCATTCAGACTTTACTGCATGCTGCTTTCCATTGCAAAAGATAATTTACAATATGTAATGTAATGTGACAAAACACATCATCTGCTTGGTATTTTAGTTGGAGATTTACGGCATGTGCGTTATATGTAATGCAATTTTCTTTTTTAGCATTACACAATATTTATATTCACCACAAAGCTTCCCCGTTTTCAGATTCATGCAAGCTGCATTTTATAACAACAAAAACATCATTTTCCACTCTACATAAAACAGGAGCTCATTTTATGTTTATTCATGTGATAAACAATAGCAAGCTTTTTGAAAATCTTTTTTTATTTTCATATGTCAAATCTTGGTCTTCTAACAGGCAGGGAGAAGTTATATTTATGCGTTACTGATGGCGTGTGTGCATTCCTCTGAGAAAAGGACGAAAGGAAGGTGTTGCCCTTTCACGTTGGAGTCTCGGGATCATATGGCATTTGGGACAGGAAAGATTATTAGTGGCTTTGGGCAATGCAGACAAACGCACAATTTCACATAGAAACCCACACTCACTGAAGTGACTAGATTAGATACGTGAGACTGCATTTGAACATAATGTTACTGAGGCATCATTGTCCTCATTTTATGTGTAATTTCATATGGTTTTGAATAGAATGTAGAAAAACTAGTTGGGTGTCTAGCAAAGTTTTAATTGTTCTTTGCAAAGCCACATTGGCTTTACCTAAAAGACACGTACCAGGAAAAATGAAACAGTAGGTATCTTAATTTGGATATGATGGCTAAATAATGGTCCCTTACGAGACGAACACAAATTTTGGATTCATTTCCTCTTAATTTTACAGCCTGAGTATCTTTTAACTTCACCTTAAAATGTGGATTTTTTCTACTTTAAGTGAGTAATCATATGTCAGCTACATTCCATGTCAAACAAAATATTACTTTTTTCTGACTATTTTCTTCATCTCTAAGGAATTAGGGATGTGGCCCACAATGGTCTATGCATCAGGGAAATATTATAATAACGATCATGCTATATATGCCCAATAATTTTCCTGTATCGGCGCCCCATTCAAGAACAATTTTCTAGGACTGTGTCTGGATACGGGAAAACTACAACCGCTCTTTACACTTTTATGTTTCTGCTTTGGTGACGTCTGTTCTAAGTTGTTTCCTTAAACCAGTCCTCGATTTTACCAATATGTACATGCAGTTTCTACACCTCTCAATCGGTTTTAGTTTTAAGGTGTGTGAGCAAACACAAGTGGCAGTTTATGTTATTCGACTAAAATCAAAGGATGCAAATTAAAGGGTTTTCAGGAGAAAAAACCTGAAGTTTTATGGGTCCAGTTAGAAGGAATCATTCATACATAATCCAGAATGTTGGTGGGGTTGTGTATAAATCACTGGTAAATATTCACTCTGAGGCACTGAAGTCTGAAGTCACACTTCTCTCTGAGTCTCATGCACACCATCAGACTGTTGCATTGCCTTCTACTTTGTCGTCTTGTAGCCATGGCTACAATACTGGGGGATTTCTATGAGAGATTGACAGATATGCACTGCAATCAAGTTGCAGTCTGAACCCCTCACTGATTTTCTTTTTTTTCCTCACTCGGTTACTTGCGTTAGATAAACTATTTCGAATTGTGACCCAAACTTGAGCACCATTCACAGCGTGTAATGCTTTGCCTCACTTTGCATGATGAGCTTAAGCATGATACTGTTTTAATTGTTACATCTCATGTATGGATTAGTAGGTGCATTTCTTTGTGTACTGTCTGTCTGTTTTGGCCATGATGGGATCTGACCCTATTCACATAGTGAGCCAGACCAATTCTGCTCGACATTCTTGATTTCCATGTACACTATTTTATAATGCTTGATGAAGGATCTACAACTTTCCTGACGACTTTCCCAAAACCTTGCATATATCATTAATTGACGGGTTATTTTTTATATCATAGGACACACTTCATCTGATGATTCAGGCCTGTGAGGCAACACTCTTTGGCGGCATCTGATCTACAGCCTATGATCAAAGCAGCTCATCCAGCAGTTCTGTTTGTTTGGTACATACAGAAGTGTCAGTGCTTCAGATAAAATCATCCACTGCTGGAGTCAATCTGTCCCATCACACTGAAACTGAAGGTGACAACTGACATCTTTCAGTTTAACAGACGCACCACAGAGTTTCCCTTTACTTTCTGCTGGCATTACTGTCACCACATAGTACAGCATAAATCCAGTTGTATTTAGAAAATGTTTGGAAAACTCTTTCCAATTGCAGTGGTATGAAAAAAGTAAGAGGTGTTACCAACATTTATATCCAACGGTTCAAAGCTGTTGAATGTGTTCCGCAAAACAGAAGCTGTAATGCACGTAACATAATTATACCTGTGCATGTGTGTGGGTGTTTATGTGTTTCAGAGCAAATGCATCTTAATCCATATTATGGTTTAGTTTCTGTCAAAATGGAGAAGTGTCGAAATAATCAAACATCATTCAAAATCAACAACATATAACCTAACAGTTTAGACAGCACCAGCCATAATTACACCAATAAATAATGGCAAAAAAGAGAGAACATTGTAATATGTCTCATAGTTCTTGTCATTTTCCTTGTATAGGTTGTGGACATTATTATTCCAGTGAGATCAAGTTCCAGTCTTTAGAGCAGCATATCGCACACAATCCCAATAAGACCAATTATTTTGAGTATCATTCAGTATCAAAATCTTTCTTTCTCAATGCAAAAGAAACAAACTGAACAGATTCTGATAATCCTGTTTCTCCTATCCTGCATCTTAACTTTCGCATATGGCCTCCTCAGCTTGCAGAGGACATTATTGCTTAAATCCAAAAAATGGGAACAGGGGGACCTTTTTTTTAATAAGTGGCAGAGACAATGAGAACATCTGTGTCACTCTCAATATTTGACACAGTTTGAAATCCCCTGCCTTTCTGGGGAAAAGGCAAAAATCCAATGCAGCCTTTGATAGAATAATTCCACTGACACTTGTTGCCAATTATTGGTCCGTATTCAGCTATTAAGCATCTCTGTTTCTGCACCGGTGCACTCTAATCAATTGTTGCAATGGTGGGTGTGATCCTGTCTGACGATGTGAATTAGTAAGTTAAAATGCATGTGATATTATGAAAAGGTGTGATGCAAAACACAATGATGACAAGAAAATGCTGCATAAACAAAGCTCTCTGTTTATTCACATATTGTCTTATGCTTTTTATAGATTGTGCCATCGAGGTAGTGGGTCTAGGACTGAGACTAGCATCCCAGTCTTTTGGAACGGGCGTGACACCCTGGAAAGAACAGTCCTCTTGCAGTCGGAGTATTGTGAGTAACATTCCACCTTTCCACACCACATACCTACATATTCTGGGACAAAAATTTTTAACCCCACTGTGTAAATGCTGAAATACTTTGAGAGGTTGGTATGACTAGAAGAGGTCTGTCCAACCTTTATACAAGGAGAAAGACTTCAGCACAAACCCAGAGCTTGCATCAGTTCTGGCTGTTTAATTGGATGTATGCTGCAAACCAAAAGGAAGGTACCTAAAGGGCTCAAACATCTGGATTGATTCGCTGAAGCAGTGACTCCACTCTTAGCTCCCTCTATATGACAAAGCTCCTCTAGGGTTGAGCCCAGCTATGCTACATAGCTATAATTCTCTTGTAGGAATATGATCTTTTGTGGTACTTCAATGTTTCAGGTTTTTTTTCCCCCCACAATGGGTTTATTTACGTTTTCTGTGTTGGATGTTTATGTTCTGTTTTTATGCATGTTGTTGAGGTTTAAGCTGTTCCCCTTGCACTGCCCAAGCCAGAGGCTTCCACTTACTGACTGCACCTGCGATGTGTTTCCCATCAGCTGTAGTGGCAAGCAGGAGAAACCGGAAATAAAAAGAGCAGGTAGACATGCCAACAGGAGTGAGCAGCACGGCTGATAGACACAGACCAAAAGAGGCAGCTGGCCAGTTCCAGTGTTCAGAGCAGAAGGAGGGCAGCAGGGGCTGGAAGGGCTACAGGCCGGTTCCAGCAGCTGGAACCAGAAGCCGGGGCCATCAGACGGGAAAAAACCGGCAAGCCCAGCAGCCGAGGACAAGCTGGTCGGCAGACTGAGACAAACCGCAGGAACGAGAAAGGTACAGCAATTATTAGTAGCAGAGAGCGGCCGAGGAACTAGCATTTCGGAGATGAGGAAGAGGTGACCCCGGGAAGACTGCAAATAGCGAGGCCTGTTGCGTAGCCACAGAAATACTCCCACAAGTTGAAGCACAGTACTCTACAGGTGCTATCCACGTATGCTGGACGTTGTGGATTCGTCCAGGCTGGCGACAAAGACAGGATGGAGAGAGGCTTAGGAGAAATGCCAGAGGCAGACTGAACTGAACTGAGCTGAGCTGGATTGATGGTTGATAGGTCTAGACTGCTGATGAACACCCACAGGAGGACGGCAGAATCACACTCCTAATGTTAGACTTTATATTTAAGAGACTTTTATTCTCTTGATGCCCTTTTGGACTTTTTATCTTCTTATTCTGTGTGGCTGGTGGTTCTTAAAGTATTAGACACTATGACAGTTTTATTTTTCCTATGCCATTCAAATAATAGCGCAACATGGTTCTCAAGGTCCACTGTCCTGCAGACTTTTGATGTGTTCCTGTTCCAGCCCAACTAATCTTGTGTTTGCATTTCCTTCACACTATGCCACCAAGTGTTGCCGAAGCTTGTCAATCACTCAAGTGTGAGATTAATAAAGTGCCTAGAACAGGCATGGCAGTGGGCCCAGAGAACGACATTGTTTTATTTCTCAGACCTCATTCTTTCATTTACTATTCAGATTTGAATGCACTGTTGACCAATTATCAAATGGACATTGAGCAACTGACAGTCTTTATGATGGCTCCCCACAAAGGTAAGCTAGCCTATAGGGATACCATGTTACTTTTCTTGTTCCAGACAACGGGGTTATCTAGCTGGGAAGTTCATGGCAGTCAAGCCTTGGCTCCTGAGACTTGGCTGGAATCAACAAGAAAAGATAATAGGAAACCTTTTAGACCCAGTATAAAGACAGAAGACGTTCAGGTTGGACTAGGCAGTAGGCAAGGAGAAGAAACCTTGATATGCTAATTTCAGTCATTAAAATCTGATTTGTGGCACAAAGCAAGATTAATCACAACCTCTGCAGTGACGAGCATAAAAAAAAAAGCTTTCATAGTTTTTCTGTATAAAATGGAGACTGGATGGTGGAACAAGAGTGTAACAAGGCAGAAAATCTAAGGAAGTGGGGCCATTCATGGGCTAAATGAGTTGAGTAACCACCTAAATGACCTGGAATGAAATTGCACAGACCTTTATATGAGAACAGAAAGAATAAGGACAGACTTGTACAGTGTTTTTATTCCTAAAACTAGAGAAAAAGTGTGTGTGTTTCAAGTCTCATCCTCGTGAAATGAAGAAATTAAGTTCTATTTCCTTTGGTATGGGGGAATATAACTTCAATTCCCCCTTCCAAAACACATAGCTTTTAATATTTAGTAACTTTGTTCAAATGTCAAAAAGGAAATCTTTTTTAATTTTTAAAAATTGTATTCATTGTTTACATTTGGCTCAAAGCATTTGTTCCCCCCCAATTTTTTTTAATCTAAATATATAAATAGCAACTGTTTTTTTTCTTTTAGTCAAACCTATATTCTTTTGGTTGCATTTAAATGTTTATTTCTTTCTTGCGAAATGTTTCACAATGAACGCATCACAAACTTTCAGAAAAGACTGCAATCGCTAATTGAAAAACAGTCATTGAATTGAGAGCAGTAGTTTATTTTATTGTAAGTTTTAGTATCACAGATTTCACTCTAACCCAGGGAGATGCAAAAGATAAAGTTGGTGGAGTGAGGCTTATTGCTTAGAAAATGCCATTTTCAGAAATAGCCGACACAACATCCAGTTTATGATGTAGCTTATTTTTCTGCACAAAAAGTCTCACTTACACTGTTAATTTGCAGCTCTTATTAGACTAGGCATTTTATCCATAGAGCCACCAAGCTAAGCTGGTGGGGGGTTGAGGTGGAGGGTACTGGGTATGGGAGATGGCTATTCAGAATTTGATTAATTACTAAATTAATTCAGTTCATTATTTTAAAATTAACTTTATGCTCTCCATAGCGTCCTGTTTGAATGTCAGTCACCTACTGCCTTCAAACACTTGCTGCAGCCAAAAAATATTACTGCATAAAATCAATTCATTTTTATATTAAGATACTTTAAAGTACGAACCTAGAAACTAATATGTTAGTTTGTCTCTCCCATAAACTCCATTCTTTATGGGAGGGCTTTTCTGAAACTGATTCTGGGATCAAAAAACTGATGATGTGGAAACTTCGTTTTGCATTTACTCAGAATATCTTGATGTTTATTTGATCTGAACGATTAAAATGAAAAAAATAGAATAAATCGGAGAGACGGTAAGCACTGTGCACAAGGAAGAACACATGATGCACATTATAGTCCTGCTACAGCAGCAGCACTTTTATGGTATAAACATATAGCTGGAGGTTTAGGGAAAAAAAAAAAAAAAACAAAACAACTAATGCGACACAGAAGCAATTCAAAATTTGTAACTGGTTTTTATTTAGAGCGCTTGTTTTCAACCACTCACTGTATGAAATCCAATGACGGTTTCTTGCGAGTTGACTGAAAATAATTCATCAACATGTTTCTGCAATAGCCGGCTTATCCTCACAGACTGTCTGTTCAGTCCCCTGATAAGGGCTTCATGCTGTCAATGCCCACAGGGAGCTGAAGATGAGATAGGGAGATAAATGATAGAAAGATGGAGATTAGAGGGATAGACTCTGGCAGCAATGACACAGCAAATGAGACATTGGTAATAGATTCTCAGAGACTGAATTTAGAGAAGAAATGAATGCACTTCAGAACATTAAATATGAAATGAAGAACATAAATCGTTTATATCAAGCTTTACAATGAAGGTTAAGTCTTAAGATTTTGTCCATTTTTAATATTACACCCAATCAGCATCCAAGAGTTTCTGAAGATCTTATTTTGGTGCACAATCCAATGTGTCTGCTGCTATTCTCTGTTCAGTCAACAGAGGGTGCTGTGGCTCTTCAGGCGCAACTTATTACCAGCACTAAAAATCACCAGACAAAAACAGAGAGTTGGAGTACAAGCCCACCTGATTGAGTTTACAGACAAGACCTCAGCTAAATATAAAAGTAGTGAGCAGCTGAGACATAGGATTACATAACAAATCTCCTGCTTTCCTCTTTTCAGCCATGTCAAGATAACGGAGAGTGTGTTTGCGTGTGTGTGTGTGTGTGTGTGGGTGAGGGGTGGGTAAGGGTTTAGAAAAAAGGCTGATTTGTGGATACTCCAGCACATTCTGTGTCTCAGTCAGCACATGCCTTGTATTTATCTTTTTTCTCTGTCTTTCTAAATCCTGCGCTTTCCATTTTCTGACTGTCAGCTTTTCCTTTGCTCTCTCCACCCCACTACCCCCAAATTCCTTTAGAAATGTTGAGTCTCATAAACTGACACCAACTTCACACTTTTTTCCCCCCTGAAATTATATCTGGCATTGCATTTAGCAATAAAGTGGAAGACAGGCGCACCTTCTTTTATCTATCATCTGTTTGTGTTTATTCTTTTTAATATGATGTTTGTACAAAGGATGTAGTTAAGTTATTAAATCCATTCTTTATGGGAGAGGCTTTCTTCTCTGAAACTCATTCTGGTTAATAAGTGCACATGAATATTTTGCAAAAGCAATTATGCTGTGTTTCGGACCTAGAAAACTATTTTAAAAGAATGTCTTTTATCTCGGCACATAAAAAGCATTTTATTTATAATGATCTGGTGCTGTTGAAGGACCATCTATTACCCAAGTAAGGCATTTTTTAAAGCCTACTTAAGAAAATAGCCCAACCAATTAACCAGTTGATATTGTTTTATCCTTGTGCTACCATACAATAAGGTGTAACTCCATTCCTGAGAGACTGATTTCTCGCATTTGTTGGACGTTTCCCTAGATGACTGACTTACTTTTTGGGTGTGACAACAGTTTCTGCTATGTGCTACTGAGCTAAAACAGAACAACAACCCTTGAGGACTCATTTTAGATTAATAGAGAGCTAAAAAACAAAAATAGCATCCATTAAATGTGTTAGTATTTTGTTCGAGACTATGTATCAAAATCTAAATGGCAAAATGATAAGAAAGGATTCTCATTAATTTATTCATCAAATTGCTGCTTTTCTGTTTTAGAATAAAATTGTCCCATTTAGATGAGGAATATTCAGTTCAAGTTTGACTCATTAAAACTGTCATATGTCCATTTAGTTTAGTGCACATAGTAAGCTAAAATGTCAAATACCAACTTTAGCAAATATAGGACTAACAGTTACCCAGTTCTGGTGTTTTTAGAGCTTTAACATACTTTGTATATGACATTTGCAATTGAACACACAAGTACTATATTAATCTCAATGAGAAATTGTATGTTGTAACTCCTATTATGCAAGTTTCTTCAAAGAGTTGGTGTAGATGGTGTGATGGCTGGGGGCAGGAAGGCTCTCCTGTAGTGCTCTGAAATACAGCAGGTCTAAAGAAACCTTGCTGAAAACACTGTTGTTTCAAAAAGAGGATGAGCAGAGTGGTCCATGGTGTTCTTCTTTTTACAAATAAATTTCTATTTGGGCAATTGTCTCTATAAGCACCGGGGAAGGCAACAGAGCACAGCCTGCCTTCTTTACCAGCTTGGGTTTTTCTATCACTAGATCTGATGTTGCTACAGATCATTTCAGAAGAGATTATACTCTGCACCGCAGATTTCTCAAAGATCTGCAGCATTTTGCTGCAAAGATCAAAGCACAAAAACCGCTCAATAAGTACGTTACTCTATTCCTTCTTGTAAGCAAAGGAGGAAGAAGTGCAAATGAATATTTTGTGTAACTATTGTGTCTCCAGTCCAGTCAAATTGTCTGGATATTTATACTTCTCTGTCGCTTCGACGACTACTATGATGAAAACAGTTTTTGTCATATTCCCATTTTCTCCTGAACCCTACAATCATATTTGCATTTGACATGTTTAAAACAACGCTGATTTGTTTAGATTCAGGTGGATGAAAAGTTTTCTTAAACCGATCCTATGCACACAGTATTTTTTTTTTAACCAATGTGGATATTTGTTTCAATAAAGTCCTGGCTAGACCTGTTTGGTCTAGTGTGTAAATCTCTAATGGTATTTACACACAGTTACTTAATCAGTCATAAACAGAAAATATGGTTGCATACAAATGTCATAAGTTCTCTTGCTATGAGGCATCGCCACATATTGCTTACCATAAAATCATTGTTTCTGATACAAATATTGGCTTTTTTTTTGACTAAGAAAACCTAAAAAAGCACCTGTTGTAGAGAATCCTCTGATTTTAATTCCAACATTAGCTCCACATTTCGCACACCATCCTACAGACTGATTCTGCCTCGCACATGGGCGACTAAGAAGAAATTAACATGAACAAATTACCCGTAGTCAAGTTTTTCATAGCATTTTGTCTGCCTCTTTTCTGAAGCTTCCTGTAACATTTAGTGGAAATTATGAGGCCAGAAAGCAG